CAATATTATTAGACTCAATGGGGCCAGACACAACTACTGCTAGCTTACTCTCAGAAATTACTTTTTATTCCAAATTTTAAAAACAGATGCCCACTACTGATCTTTTGAATGTACTATCTTACTAAGAAATGAAAAAGACACTGAGGATATCATAAAATGGCAACAAAGCTCTGAAATATTAAGAGAGTACTCAACTGTCATAAAGTAAAAAAGCCCACCAAAACCTTCATAATCATTTAAATTAAGTGAAGAAATGTTATATTTATCTGGCAAAATGGCAGCATCTTTTTGCCAATATAATAGCTTTTACTCTCTGCCAACTAGTTGAAATGGTAGATTTTAAAAAAAAAAAAAGAGGGGGGGAAATGTAATTATGCCGTTCACTAAGCCAGAAAACGGCTTTTAAGGAAATTATTTGGGAAAAGAATAGAAGTAACGCTTTTGTTACTTATGCTATAAGCACTGCACTGTGCATATATTGTAGCTGGTGTTAATATTTATTCCATAGTTAGATAATCCTCCATTAGCTAATTAAATTCAGTTGTGAACTTATTAACCAATATTTCCCTGACCATTTAGTTAAAGCATTTTGAATGACACCCTATTAAATGTTAGCAGACTTTCCAATGCACTACAGTTTGCAAAATTAAATTAATGGAGTATCTTCCATTTATACAGACTCTCTCCTCACTAAGAACTCCTAATTCATTTTGAAAACTTAAATTATAGCATAACTATAATAATTTCTATTCAGAAGTAATAATTGTTGCACGGATTTATTCTGTATGGTACCAGGCATCCCTAATCCCTTTTGAACTGCTACATGTGAGAAAAGAAATTGAAATCAAAGAGTGCAAGAGTGCTCAGAACCTCCCAGGATTACTCTACTGATTCATTTTCAAATCCAGGCCTCACACTGAAAACAGCAATAGAATTTAAACATAATTTTCAATTGCTATGCTATTAAAAAAAATTTGTTTTAATTGACTTATTGTTATGTATACATTGTTAATGCACATCTTTATCACAGAATTGCCTGGGTTTACTCAATTACTGTACAAAACAGTATTTGTTCAGAGTTTATGTTTTATTCTTGAAAATGTAGTAAGAAATCAGAAAATAGCACTAAACCTCATTATACCAAAATACAAGGGTCATACATATTTCTATATCTATACATGCATATATACACCTATATATATGCACCATATATATACACTTATGATGGATCACTTCCTTGCAAGCTTATCCTACCTGTCACTCATTAAAGGAATCCTTGAAGTTCACAATTACAGCTTCCTACGCCCTCCAAATTCCTATTTTCGTAATGAAATAATCTTAATGTCAGCTACTTTGCCAGCACTTTCATTGTTATTACTCTACAGCTTCATCAACTCAAGAGTTAAAAGTGCACAGAGAAGCGAATAGAATTCCTGAAATACAAATTCTATCCTGTTATCCTTCATACTGAATTACTACATGAGTTTCTCAGTAGACTTGTGTAATGTGCCAAGCTTTTCAAGTACGCAAATTCATTTTCTGTCAGTTAAAAAATAAAGTATGTTCTTAAATCCTGATAATACTTGCTTGTACATTTCACACAGAAGTAGAAAGAATACATTTCAGCAATCAAAATGTTAGTGCTTACAAGTCAACAGCAGCAATTTCAATTCAGGGAAATCCTCCAATTTCTTTCTATTACATTGAATTCTGTATTTTTAACAACACTCAAAACATGTTAAGACAAAAGCTTATAGTGAATTCTCAGCTGTACACCCAAAATATCTAGAGTCATTGAAATTTATATACAAACAAAATTGAGCTGCCCTAATATCTGACTGAATATACTCTTAAGTTCTAGCATTCCCAGCAAGTTAATTTGTATGACCATATGAAATAGACTAGGCAACTTGCTTCTTATTTGTGCCTCGTGACATGGATTTAAATTTGGTATGGATTGACAAAATACATAACAACTTTGAACTTCTTATACATTTTGCTATCTAATCAATTTTTCAGACAGTGAGGAAAACAAAACAAAACAAAAAAAAAAGGAGAATCAAATTTTTACCTGGTCTCCTTTGGAAAGGAAAAAGTCAACGTCACATAAAAAGGAAAAGAGAAGAGATAAGAAGAACACCGCAACATAGTTCCTTTTGTGTTCATATTGCATAAAGCACCTCAAATGCAAAATTCATAGCAAAAAAATCTGGTATGGAAAACACAGCCTGTATGACATATACCCTCAACAGGGTCCAAAGTACAAGAGAACGCAAGAATACTTCAATTTGTATCAGGAAGTCAAACTCCACTGACGATACACGAGAGTGTTCAGGTATTTATTTCTTACACAACAGAATTAGCCTTTGACTTCAAAAAAATAAAACAGAAGCCCAACAAATAAAACCAAGTACTCTCCTCCTCTCTTAGAAATTAATCTAAATAAAGTCTGTATTTGTAAGCCAGATACTTAGATGTAGAAAGTACTCAATTTGACAGTTGCCTGTATAAGAACATGCAGTGCATCCGTATATGGAAATACGTTACTACTTCTTTATCCAGAGTACAGGATATAAGCATAAGTAGACAGAATTTTAATTATATAAGAAATCCTAAGTTTGTCACTTAATTTTTCAGAGGCTAACATTGCAAGCTCAATAACCACCCTTTAAAAGATATTGGCATTGTTTCATTCTGCACGCTTTATACCAAGTGAGAATGTATAGAACAACCACCACAACAACACCCATACACATGCACAAATTAAGATCAGTTACAAACAGACGTTTTACAACAATAGCAGAGTAGATGTAGAGGGATGGAACACCTCTCCTGTGAAGAAAGGCTGAGAGAGTTGGGGTTGTTCAGCCTAGAGAAGAGAAGGCTTCGGGGAGACCTTATTGCAGCCTTTCAATACTTAAAGGGGGCTTATAAGAAAGATGGGGACAGACTCTTTAGCAGGGCCTGTTACGACAGGACAAGGGGGAATGACTTTAAACTAAAAGAGGGTAGATTCAGACTAGATATAAGGAAGAAATTGTTTACACTGAGGGTGGTGCAACCCTGGCAGAGGTTGCCCCGAGAGGCGGTGGATGCCCCATCCCTGGAAACATTCCAGCGCAGGTTGGACGGGGCTCTGAGCAACCTGATCTAGTTGAAGATGTCCCTGCCCCATGGCAGGGGGGTTGGACTAGATGACCTTTAGAGGTCCCTTCCAACCCAAACTCTTCTATCATTCTATGATAAATAAATAAATAAATATCATGGCATGAAAGGACGTGTAAGAAATATTTAACTTCCCTTTTACCTAGCAATTACTGCCCACAGACATTAATGGGTATTTACAGTTGATTATTTCACTGAAGCCCTTTTACATCCTATTTGAACTGGTACATGTCCTTGATCCCTCCCTGCCAACAAGTATTGCCAGTTTGTACTTTCTTCAGTAGGATCCTAGTACTTTTTGATGTGTAGCCCAGGTGTTACAGTGTGGGACTGTTTTTGTCTGTGGTTATATGTTTGTAATTTTTATAATTACATGCACTTTATTACAGGATGGCAAAACAAAGCATTAAACAAATCCTGCCGCCTCACTGCCCCTACTACCCCAAAAAAAGCACATTCCCTTACACTCAAGTATCACATGAACAGGGTATCAGGATAAAGCCATTCTTCAGTTTCACCCTTGGTTGGCCTGGGTGGAAGTTAATTTTCTGAAAGGTTGTCCTGGTTTCGGCAGGGATAGAGTTAATTTCCTTCCTAGTAGCTGGTACAGTGCTGTCTTTTGGATTTAGGGTGAGAACAATGTTGATAACACACCAATGTGTTAGTTGTTGCTGAGCAGTGCTTACACTAGTCAAGGACTTTCTAGCTTCCCATGCTCTACCGACTGAGAAGGCTGGAGGTGCACAAGAAGCCGGGAGGGGGCACAGCCAGGACAGCTGACCCAAACTGGCCACAGGGATATTCCATACCATGTGACGTCATGCTCAGTATATAAAGCTGGGGGAAGAAGAAGGAAAGGGGGGACATTCAGAGAGATGGCGTTTGTCTTCCCAAGTAACCGTTACGCGTGATGGAGCCCTGCTTTCCTGGAGATGGCTGAACACCTGCCTGCCGGTGGGAAGTAGTGAATGAATTCCTTGTTTTGCTTTGCTTGCGTGCGTGGCTTTTGCTTTCCCTATTAAACTGTCTTTATCTCAACCCATGAGTTTTCTCACTTTTACCCTCCCAATTCTCTCCCCCATCCCACTGGGGGGGAGTGAGCGAGCGGCTGCGTGGTGCTCAGTTGCCAACTGAGGTTAAACCACGACAAAGGTAAACAGACTTGATGCAACCTTTCTACTTTAGGTCTTCCTATTTCTCTCTAGACTCTCCTACCTGAATTTACTTTCCCCCAGACCAGAATCCTTCCTAGCAGAAGGAAAATTAGGAGTTTTGTCTACTATCTTTACCTTGTGGTAGTGAAGTCACCACCACTGCATTCCTAAACACACAACTTCAAATAAAAATGAATCAAGTGGCCTGGCATGTTTGGCTGAAGAGAGACCAAACACAATCATTTCAATGACATTTTATACAAGCTACTGTAATGATCCTTCTCTTATTTCCTAGATTAGTTTTTTTTTTCCTAGACTAGTGGGTTTTATTTTTTAATTTGGAGGTCTTCTGTAGGGGGATCCTATATGTCAAGCTTAAAACCACTGACAATAACCTTCCTTTCCTAGCTACCCTTTCCAGTGTCTCTAGTAATAATCCATGAAACTCCCACGGCCTGTGGACCAAAAAAAAAAAAAAAAAAGAAAACCCTGAATATGCTCATAGTTGTACAAGCTAGCTTTGAAAGCAACCTCATTACTAAAAAAAACAACAAAAAAACCCCAAACACTAAGACTTCATCTTCTGTTTGCGTCCCTTCTGTGCCACACCAAGGAAGCACCAATGAGTGGTCCATGCTCATCCCTGTATAGACGACAGCAAGAAAGATCACTTCCACTTACTTGGTGTTAATTCTGGGTTTCCTTTTAAGTTCATCATCTTTGGAATTGAAGGTCCATATATGTCTGCATCAAGTAAACCAACTTCTTTTGTCTGTGTAAGGAACAAAAAGAAAAGTATTTGTCAAAATGTCTGTCTTCCTTTATGAATTATTAGTTGAGCAAAATTTCATAACTGCCCATGAAAATACAATCTTGATTTTAGACATAAGTTATCACTGTTTTCTTTCTCTCTAAATTGCAATTGAAGCATGAAATATAACATCTCTACAGGTTGAGCAAGATGTCTTCACAAAATCTAGATTCTCAATACACATAATCCTCACTTGCACATTTTCTTACTTACAATGTAGACCACAGACTTTACATTAACAAACATTATAAGCAATGTTCTCTCTACTCCATGTACATTTATGCAGAAATAATATCTTCACTTTTTTTAAAAGATATCAAATTTTATTGTTTAAAAAAATCAAGCCATGTTTGTAAATATATTTGGATTAATATCATTTAAATTATACTAGTGACTACAAGGAATGTGAAAAACATAAAAAACATATTTTTATCTTCCATTTAAGTGGCCAGCGTAAACTTTTGCAGACATCTTGAAAATACTGAAATGCATGTCTCTGAAGCCAATTAAGCAGGCATAACATTTTAATCAAATGCATTTACACAAAAGAAAGCTAAAAAATAAGTTTATTCAACTACATATGGTACATTAGGCAATAAACTTCAAATAAAAATTATTTCAACTATGTAGTCTAGGCTTACAAGATTTCTATATGCTCTTTTATAGATATACATACATATTTTGTGGAAATTAAACTACTTTTCCTACAGATGGCAAGACACACTACCAATTACCAAGTCTGCAAATTAAGCAGTAAAGAGCAAGCCCTTTAAAGTGCTGAACGTCAAGTTTCTCTAATATAAAAAGCTAACTGTATTCAACATTTTGCAAAATTGCAAGCAAGTATGTTTAAGGGCTTGTTTGAAAGGTTAAGGCAGCAATGGGAGCTTTTCCAACAATGCCGAATCAGACTTTCACTGCTAGCGTTTCAAAATGTGTGCTTCATTTTTTGGATGGAGTTTTCGTAATTTGGTATCATATATTAAGCCATTCTATTATCACAGTTTTGATGGGAAAGATGGAGCAGAAGACAAAGGCTCAGTGATAACTATCAAGTTTCTGGTTAGAAGACCACTATAACGAGGCTTCTAATTCAAGTGTACAGCATCTCTACCCTTGAACAGGATTTCTAAACGTGAAGTATGTTCTGTGGCATCACAATCAGTTTGTTTGGGTTTTTTTTAAAACAGAAAAGCAGGTGGATTAAAAACCTAGGTATTCAGGCCACTTCTAAATAAATCTGAAATTCAATTAAGATAAAGAAACTAAATCACAGAAGCCTAGACACCTGAGAAGTAAGACTGACCCTTTTTACTACAACATATATAATAATTTGGGCTGGGGGGTTTGTTTTTCTGCGGGAGTTGCTTTCTTTTTTTCTTCTTCTTCTCTTTTTTTAAGCTGTTGATAGTGAACCCTGAAGACACCCTTAACAGCTGAGCAATTTAAAGTGTCAAATTTACCTAAAACAAGCCAAATGCATCTTAGATTTTACAACTGAGAAGTAAAAAATGCATTACCGTATGTGATCTACTATGCACTTAGAAAAAATTTTACTAAAAAAAATCAACCAAATTTGGGTTTAGTTATTCAATACACTTTCTATTAAACAGAGCAAACCATATGTAATTACATGGATTATTTCATTTACATATTTTGATATTACTTTATAACATCTTGTGAAAGCTATTATAAAAAAAGTTCAGGAGTTACTCTGACAAATTATTCTACTTCTTGCCTACTGTATGAAAGCTGCAATTTCAGAAAGATTGAAAAGCCCCATTTTTATGTTAGACTTCAAAGACATCAACAACAGTATTAGAGCTTCTTTGTTCTTGTACAAAATGCATATTTTAACAGATTAGAAAGATTCGTGACTCAGCCCCTTTATCTGTGTCAGCAGCTAATCGAACCCATCAAAACATCATCTAAGGGCTGTGCCACCTAATTACTTCTCAAACGAAAGTAAATATTTGCAGAAAAACCTACATAGTGTTTTAAACCTGACTGACATCCTTTCCCTCAACTTTTTGAGGGTTTTCCCCCCAACAAGGATCGTGACTATCCATTGACTGACTAACTACAATGATCTTACAACTCACTACAGTTTTGTTTTCAACCTAAAGGGACTGAAGATTTAGGATGATCTAAATTAGTTAGATTGACTTCATGATCTCCTGGGCATAGTCAGATCTTCACCACCACAGGTCCGCTTATTCCTAGGAGTCAGCAGGAGTGTATCTACGAGTGTGCCAAATTTCCTGAAATGAAGAATAAATACATGCACACTGGAGAAAAAATATCCCTCAATTATCTAGCAGGACTTTGCAAATTCAGCTACTACTCCAAATTACAAAGCTGATCTTTGTTTCAAGCTAATACAATAAACCTGACAGTTTCTCAAAAAAATTTACACGCTTCCTCCAGAATAAGATGCCTGTTTCTGAGATGCACTGCTTTTGTTCATGGATATGGTTCAATAAAATGGTTGTCTTCAAACAGGAAAATAATTAACAGATTCCCCAGTTTCTACAACGCTTGTTAATGACAGCACAAGCGTTCCTGTAGGCATGGTGCTTTCTACAGGATTATAGGAGAAAGGTCTTTTGGAAAACCTTTAAGTCACCGGCAGAACCTCACTAAAGACAGCCTAAGATAGATTGGTGGTTTGTTTTTTTTTTTTTCCACCAAGCAATTCAACATGTTAGATAGAAAGAGTTCACACTGCCTAACAGTAGCAGCTTATACAGAAAGCACTGTCCCGCTAAGCTAAGGTTTTGAGTTTTGTTTCTCCCAACTACCCCTGCATTTGCAGTACATAAGCATCCCTAGAGTACTAATAATAACCCTTTACTCAAGGTTTACTTATCTTGGAAAAGCATTATGGCAGCTACCAAGGGATCTTTTAAGACAGGCACAGCACAGTCCAGATCATCTCTTCCAGCATTTTCAATGTTTTAAATCCCCAAGAGATGAAATAATGTGTATACATCTGGATGCTAAGACATGAAACTGTTAATCAGAATTACCAACACCAGATACTTCTCATGCTGAGTGAAGCTTAATCCAGATGCATGAGTTACAATAATAAAAAAAAATAAATTTTGATAAATGGTGTTTTCATCCATATAACCCACACCTCATAAAAATCAGCACATCTTTCAAAGTACTGCTATATGAAAACAAATCCTGAAGAATATGCATAACATCAGACAAGGCTAAAAAGAACATCTGGGCAGAAGGAATATATTACAGGGGATCACAAGCAGGGCCAAGAAAACTTAAAAAAAAAAGAAAAAAGCTCTAGGATTCCTCTGACATTATTTTCATATGCATATACATTTCATACCGATGTGGAATCTTTTTTTTCTTAAGTAATATTAGGGTTATGCAGACAGAAATGCAGCAGTCAAAGCACACCCAAGCATGTCAAAGTGCCCCTGCTTCTAAGTGTTTTTCAGAGCACAGCACATACCACTGCTACAGCCACCC